TGAGTTTAAAAATAATATTAATATACATATACATATAATATTAATTACATAATAAAAATCAATTAAAAATAAATTTCCAAAAAACTTAGTTACATATTATTTTTAAAATAAAATAAATTTGATAAATATGAAATAGTACATATTTAATTTAATGTAATTCAATTTACTTGAAAATTTTCTCAATTACTATTTAAATAAGCTTCTGACAAGACATTGAAGATATTTGAAACTCATCTTGCAAAGCACTTATAAACTATAACATATACTTATGTTTCCATATTCATAGCATAAAGTAAATTTTTTAGATCTAAATATTCTAATTTTTTTTACTAAGCAAATTCCATAATATTGGGTGTTGAGTTTGTAGAAGATTTATCACTTAACTGATTGCAATGCATCCAATTTACCTAATCTAAATAACCAAGAATTCATTTTTAAATGGTAAGCACTTTTTATTTATTTATTATTCATTAATTATTAATTCATTTATTTGATACGGTGAAACTTTATATAACATAATAATACATCTTTTGTGTTAAGATTATTTAAAAATACGTTAGAAATTAGCGTAAGAAAATCAAGCAGAAAAGAAAGAATTAAATTGAATTACAAATTCAACAATTTTACATCTTGTCATTAACTTTATATTTAATTTTTTGATGTAAGAGCCTGAAATCTTCTTGTATGATTCTTTGATACATACATTCTATACTTTTCAAAAATTAATTTGATAATTTAGATTACCCGATTTTTTAAAGCATGCATACATCTATCATACATTTAATGTGATATTGAAACATTATAAAAAAAACCCTTGACTTTATAATTGATCTTTATACAATTTTTTTTTGGAAGTTTCTTATTCTTTCATTGATATTTAATTAAATGTTTCATTAAACACAATTTAGTGTAAGTTTTTACTGAACTTATTCTCTACAAATGCTGTAATTTAGTGTTTTAAGTTCTTTTTTTTTCAACTGCAATCTGTTTTCTAAAACAAAGTTGTACTGGCCAATTAAGATCCTCCACACAAGACTGATTTGTTCTCATTCTTAATAAAGCCATTTTCATTTGTGGTTATATCACTACCTAAAAAAAAACTAATAACATTAGATGCCTTCTTTTTCACGCTCCATTTCCCAAAACTTATAAATGCTGAGCATTGCTTTGTACTTCATGAGAAAAAAGTACATATAATACATGCTTATGCTTCAGAAGAGGTAAACTATTCATCTTCAAAGCACCAAATTCTTTGTTATTTATTTATTTATTTATTTGTTCATTATTTTTGATTTAGAAAAAGATTCAAAAAAATTCCCTTGCAAAGGAAACATCATTTTTGCTTAGACAGGAGTCACACATTTCTACATGATATTCCAAAGTGGGTTTGTACTTTTCATTTGCTAATAAAGATGTTTATATTATTCTACTAACAAGGTTTGCCCAAATGGGTTTTTCTTGTGTGTGTGTATATATACATATATATAGATATATTTATACATACATAGTTAAATATAAATATTGTTCAATAAACACACCCTTTCAGAAAAACAAACTCTAGTTTGTATTTTTACCACATTTTGGTACCATGGCATCAAAAACCTTAATATGTCCCTCCTTCAAAACACCTACATGATAGAACACTATTCTCAGTAGGAAAAAAAGAAAAAAAAGAAAAAAAAAAACAAAGAAAAACAAGACAAGATTGGCATTTCAATGGGTGGGAGAGCTCATTTGTACTAATCTCTTTTGACAAATTAATAAGGAAGCACTTGCCTCCAATTTCTTACAACTTTAATGTCCTAAACGGAAAATCTTTTTTTACTTCCATTGTAAAATTACATTACCAAAGGACACAAAAATCGAGTAGTTTTGTATTGTTTCCACACTTCCTTGTCCAATGTAAGAATCATTGTGTTTTTAATTTTTTTAATTTTTTATGGAAAGGTTAACATGTCTTCATCCAACTAAAATGAAATTAGTAAAAGAACCCCAACACCATAAGGACAATAACATGATTTCTATAGGACATTCAAAGAAGATGACATCTCAAAGCCTAAAGTGGTAGAATATCTTAAATTATATTTAACTATCTATTTATTTAAGCATGTACATATATACAAATTAAAGAGCACACATACATATATGAAATAAACAAGCACCAAAAGAAGACTATCAAGTGCTATGTTATTAAATTATTAAAAAGTGGTTACATTACCATTAGATTTTAATTTTCAATCATTTTTAACAAGAAAAGTGATTCAGACATCTATGGGTGCAAATTAAAAGATTGTTGTATGGACTACTTTATTCTGAAGAATGAAAAACGGCATGTTGAGTAAATTTCTGTATGGATTGTGAAGCTAAATAACTTGAGTTAAGTTTTGGAAAATGATGTCGTTTATCCCATTAAAATGCTATCATATGATTGAGTTAAACTTACAGGTAGCTTTTCACCCACATGATCAACTTTCACATCGTGTATACAAAAATGACAGTGTAGAGGCATTTTGTGAGGTGCGGCCGACAGCTCTACGGAGGTAGCAATTCAGACCTGCAGGTGGATCCCAAAAGGGCTGCTCACAAAACGGATACCGACACTCGGTGGCTCACCGATATCTAGAAGAAGAAGAAGAAGAAGAAGAAGAAGAAAAAACTCTGATGTGTTTACAAGAAGAAGTGTGTACGATTGAGAACACTGGCATGATCGATGTGAGTGAGTCGAGGCCGGGACGCACTTCCGTGAATCGAATGGGTGATGATGAGGCTCCCTCACTGCAAGTTTTCTACGAGAAGAACCTGGCTGTCGGTATCTACATCGAAGTAGCGCAAGGATCAGGCACCTCGATGATCGAAAGAACTCTACTACTTCTTCTTCTTCTTCTTCTTCTTCACAGTTGGGCAGATTCGACTAATGAGCTGTGCAGACGTGGTGGTGGGTGCTGTGGGCCACAATTTGGCCACTGTGGGCACGTTGCATCGATCTTCAGAGCGGTGAAGGTGGTGATCCACTGATCCTTTATTCAGAGGATTCATAGGAGTTGTATGATTCTACCATATTCATGCAAAGTCTTTCTTTGTCATGTTGTTTGTTGTTGATGGAGTTCGAATCCTTTCGATGCTTAGGTCGGCGATGCTGTGCTTGCTGAACTGACACATCGCTGCGTCGGCTACCATGTTTTTGAACCATTTTCTCAACTATTTGGAAACAAGCAAATAAGAACCTATGTATATATATATATATATCAAGTGGGAGAGAAAGATCAGTGTTAGGTACTTGTTGAGCTTGTTTTAGGAAGAATCATCAAATGGGCTTAGAGATTCCTGTGGGATGTTTTCTGTTATATGTTAAGGTTTCAGAAAAGTTTCTTTCTTTCTTTTGCTCCGTTTTTACAAGCATCAAAGATGTTATGAAGTTGGGTAGATCTGTAACTCAACGCAAAGGCAATTTTAATGGGTTTAGTGTGCGTGTGGAGATGAAGCAAGTTGAATTGTTGTGTGAAGTGTAACATGAATTCATTTTTGAATCTTTGAAACAAACTTCAATTAAGCAAAATACATACTATCTTTTGTCAATTCTAAAATTATAACATTCTTTTTTTCCTGAATTTTTTTCCGAAACTATTATTATGAATAAGCTAATTTAAATATAAGTAAAATATTTTAGAAATATTATTTTAAAATTTAATTTTTGTGTATTGAATCAAAATTCTCACTAATTTATTTATTTAATTATGCTGTAAAAATATTTTGAAGTCTAAATTATTAAGAAAGTATTTCTAATTCTTTATTTAAAACTATCAATATTACTTTTAAATAGAATGTAAATAAAATTCTAAAAAACATTTCTGAAAGACATCAACTTTTACATGATAGAAAACCAAACTAATCTAAATATTTTTACAACAAAATAAATGTTTGATGCTAAACCTATGTAAAACAACAAGCCAAGATTATACATAACCAATAACATAATTCTCAACCGTTGATAAAATTTCAGAAAATCAAGAATGAAAAAACGAGAAAAAAAAAAAAAAAAAAAAAAAAAAAAAAACACACACACACACACACATAAGTACAAACACAAACAAACAAAAGAGAAGAAGTTATCGTTATCACACCCAAAAACCAAAAGACATGCTTTTGCAGGCACCATTAGAGAGACCACTCAGCTCACAGAAAGAAATCACAGCAAACAACAAATTACAACAACAAATAACAAAAAAATCACAATAGTCATGAGGGGGGGGGGGGGGGCTGGGGGGAAAATGGGAATCATGTGCTTGCGTTCGAAGCAAACATCTATGACAAACTTGCAGGAAGAACCGGAGCTCCGCTGTGCATGATCGATCGAATCCACCATCGCAACAACAACACAGAGATCCCACGCTCGCCGAGCTCAGCGTCGAACTGATCCACGCCGAGTTCGACAAAAAAAAAACTGGTGCATTTGGCAAGTGACAACAATGAAGTGAGGAAGGGAGGGTGGGTGTTGCAACATATCTATCTATCTATCTATCGATTTTGCTCTCATGGGGTACTGGTGGTGGTGGTACTGGTGGTGGTGGTGCAATTGCAATTGCAATTGCAGCTTCTTCATGGAGTTTCTGTCCATCTAAAGGGCTGTCAACGTCCACTTGCGTGGACCAGTGCGCCGGCACCGACGTTTAAGCATTGTTTAATCGCAGCACCTGCCAGCTCTGGAGGAGGAGGAGCCTTGCAGAATCACACGGTTCCGGACGCCGCCTGTGCCGAGGAGCAATACGTAGACTAGACTAGCCTGCTGCTGCTGCTGCCCTTGTAGGAGCTGATCATGGCCCGGACTCTCGCAATACGTGGACCGCCTACGGTTACGGCTCCAGCACCGCGGGTACGCCAAGGCGGCGTGTTTATTTATTTATTTATATATTTGTTTTATCCGAGCTGCTGTTGTTTAGATTGCGAGAGAGAGATCGATCGCGCGGCCTTCAGTGCAAGGATTCGGGATGTGTGCTCCCGGTATTTGCAGTGCCGTTCCACGGTGATGGCACTTACTGTGGATTGAATCGGATGGTTCTTCGAATCGGGATTCATGGGGGGTTTTTATTATTTTTGCAGTGCCAATCGACGGTTAATCGGGGAGGTTTGAAGGAGAGCTAGAGATGCGAGAGTAGATAACTCACGGCGTGTCGAAGGGGGAGGGGGGATTTTAGTTTCGGTTGCAGGAATTGAGAATACGGTGTGTTGTGTTGGTTTTTCTCACGGTTGTGAGAATGTAGCTGTGGGGAGCCTGGGCCCGACCGACTGCTAGAGCCGGGCGAGGGCCAAAGACGTGGATCGAGACAGCTCGCGCGCTGGTGGTATCATACACAAGCATCTACATGTGGAAGGGTTGGGCCCCATTGGCATCGATGCAGGTGCGTCTCGCCATCGTGAACAGGCTGCTGCTGTCGCTCTCGATCGACGTAGGAAACGTAGACGCGCACAAGTCCCATTAGTTTAAATTCATTCTTTAAAGCGGTGGTGGAGGAGCTGTAACAGTGAGAGAGAGAGAGAGAGAGAGAGAGAGAGAGAGAGGGTGGCGCATATTTACAGCCGGAATTCTGATAGTCGGCAACCTTTCACCTCATAGTTGCTTCTGCAATCGCTGAAGTGAACCTGAGAGTTCGATCGGTTATTCTTGGTTGCGTCGGCGTCCTTCAAGCATTGTTTGTGGTATCAGTGCTTAATAGCCAAATATCATGGAGCCTTCTCGACGTCCGGCCAGCCTACAATCTGAACGTTTCTGGTCAGCTGTTCGGATGCAGTCGGAACTCATGGCTGTAGTTACGAACGTAGCCATCACGGGTGAATCAGGTTACGGTGCCGCGCCAGACAATCCGCATGCCACCATCACTCACCCGAAAACTTCATATGATTCGGATACTAGATACAGGATTCTCTCTTCTAGAGTCCATGAGCATCTGAATGGCTGCCTTGCAGACCAACTCATGGATATTCAGCAGGGGATGGGTGTGGAAGCTTCTACTCCGCAACTTCACGTCGAGGACATGCCACAGGCAGATCGAATGAGTGTCGATAATGATGCTGCAAACTTGCACGCTTTCGCGAATGAGTTTGACACTGGCTGGCCGACTAGTGGTAACGAGTCGGCACTGGTGGAGGATCTGCACACCCGGCGCCTGCAGTTGAACGGGTTTCAATCGTTTCACAATCAAATATTCAATGAATGTAAGTTTGACACAGTCTTCAGTAGCTTTGAGAATCTTGGCAAAATGTTGATACAAGATTCTCACATTAATGGTGCATCAAAGTCTGAACGATTAATCGCTTTGAATGTGAATTTTCTATTTCAGGTGCAAAAATTAACTTTCATTCGAATAGTAGCCCAGTCAGCGCCCAGCAACTAATCATGATGTGTAATCAACAAAAAGGCGTGCAGAATTCCAGATCTGGAAGTTGGTTTTCTGACCGGATCGAGCATCCCAACACAATGTGTAGACCGACCAGTGATAACGTCTTCACAAATCGAGACCACGCTTCCAGTTCCTCGCAATTCGACAAAATGCAACCACTCGGTGGTAAGATCGGTGACAATGTGACGCACCCAAACTGCTTGCCTTCTGTTGCGCAGAAACAGAGCCAGGCTCCGCGTCTTCAGACGGAGCTAGTGGGATGCGCACCCATTAGTGCATTTTATAGCGCCGAACCGACTTGCTTCCAATCTCCACCACAGATGCAGAGCATTCATAACGCCGTCTCTTTTTCCCTAGGTGATGAAATTGGCCAAACGGTACCAATTGGGGCCAATGCGTCACAAGAGAATGGCTGTGCAACCACGAAGCAAGTGCCAAATCAAATTGATGAAACCGGGAACTGTAACGCACGACTACATTCCTGTGAAGACCAAGGCAGCTTAGACTTGCAGCGAGTCTGGTGCCAACCATCACAAGCCATCACCAGTTTTCAGAGATGTGGGTCTGCCACAACATCTTGCGGCCATGCCTCAGGTCTTGCTCCCGACAGATCGAAACCCGGTTCAACGAGAACCTCCGAAGACGGCGGAAAGAGCAGTCCGCCAGTGCACAGGACTCCGAGCGGCGGTAAGCACAGAGCACTTACCAACCCAAAGAAAGGCAGAAAACAAAAGCTTCCGGGGAAGACTACTACTCAAGCCTTTCTCAACAAAGCAGTTTCACAACGTGAGAGTCATATCTGGTCGGAGCGGCAACGACGCCGCTCCATGAACCAGTTATACACAACCATACGAGCGCTGCTCCCACACCAATCTGTGAAGGTGAAAATCTTCCAAACTCCGCTACATGTCTAACAAACGATACGATTTTTTGTGAGGATGACAGCGCATCCGATGACTAACTACTGCCCCCTTTTTTGTTGTTCTTACATCATGGATTGCAGACCGACAAGGCCACCGTCGTTATGGACATTATCAATTACATCCGCGCCATGCAAGCGGACTTGGAGGTGCTTTCGAGGCGACGCGACCAGCTGCTCGCGGCGCTGAACTTGCGGCGGCAGCCTTCCCAAGTATTTTCTGCCCACGGCCTCACTTGTGTGGATCACACGAGTGATGCCTCTGTCTTGACGGCAGTGACCACCTTACCTCCACCCGGCAGCGTCTCTTGCTTAACGTCATTCTTGGGTAACAATGTAGCCATCCATATCTGCGGCCAGCATGTTTTTGTTACCATCACTTCTGCCCCACAAAGCCGTCCTGGTCTTCTAGCGCAAATCATATCGACTCTCACCAATTACAACTTGGATGTTTTGAGTGCCACAGTCAATTCGCGGGATAACACGACCGCATATGCCTTGTCAGTTGAGGTAAATTTCCAGAACGTTCATTGTATTGTTTTTTAAAGGTTTTGTAGTACTTTCCTTCGTCGTTCTTCGTCTTCTTACTCCTCTCTCGTGTGTTTTTTTGCTTGTGGAGTGAGCATCGTGTGGTGATGAGATTGTAGAGTTTTGGCTGACATTGCTAATGATGTTCGAACTCGAATGGCAGACTAGTCAGTCTGTGGAGAGTTTGGGTGACGATCTGCACACACAGTTACAGATTGTTATCAACAATTTCTCACCCAGCGATGCCAAAGAACCGTGACACAGTTGCCTGTTCGCTTTCCACACGTATTCGGTGCGAGAATCGAAATTCGTTGTCAATCATATGGCGATTGCCTATGAACTTGGTGATATTAAATGTGCGGGAGCAGCGGAATGGCCTCGGAACCCGAGATTGTGATGTCCAGGTGATTGAATTATACGAGTAATCAAGCAAAACCTATTGAAAATGGATCTGTCACAGTGCAGACGTAAGTGAATTCGCCGCGTATTTAGACTTGGATTTAATGTAGTTCGTTTTGGACAAACAGCCTATGTACATACCGATGTATATATGAGATGAGAATTTTAAAATGCTGTATGCCTTGGTGGAATAAAAGAGCTGTTTGTCTTTAGAAAATACGTATGCTGTTGTCTGGGTCTGGTGAAACAATTAATTGCAATACATGAGGATGTTTTCAACAACCTCAGTTATAATTGACTGAACTTGAACACCGTTTCACCCTTGCTCACAGTGCACAAAATTTGATCACTAATACTTATTGGCCATCCACTGACTCTCAAGGATGTGGAAACCGAGGCATAAGTCGGCAATCTGGGGGTGTGTTCAACTTCATGCTCCCACCTTGTCCATGTTACGAGGATTAAACCCTTTCATTTAGTCATGAAGCTGCAGACAAGCTAAGGTGTACCTAGGTCTCAGAGATCATGCATCAATATTGTAAGACTCTCGTGTACATAATCAATTTACTGTATATCTAATTTGTACACACACACACAGTCAAGTTAGTGAGCTAAAAACCTTGGTTTCTGCAATATAAGAAGCCTGTAATAGTGCCAGCTAGAGTACAGTAGTGCTTAGTTTTGTATAAGAGGTCATTTCTGGACACTTGTGAATGTTATCTATGAAACCTTCAAGTGGAAGGAAGGCTCAGAGGCTTTGTTCTTAGTCTTATGATCCCTTCCGAAGCCCATAAGAGCATGACACACCAACATACTTCCCCGGCGCACGGTTTCTGCCATTCTTCCAACCAAAGGAACTCGCACAGTCTGCCTATCCCAAAGTCGATATCCACCAAATCTGCTAGCAAGTATTCCACATTAGAATGTTAATGAGGCTTCCTGGGGAGCTCAAAGGTTACTTCCACAGATACCCAAAAGTTCTTCATATTACTTCAACATAGAGAGGACACTCATGGTTTAGTTTTGACAAGCACCAATCCAAATTTTAGAATTCAAGCGTTAGTAATTACAAAAACCAAGCTCACCGGTCTTCATGACGGGTTACTTTTCCTGCTTCCACCTGCGTCACAAACATAAACGTTTCACTCTCTCACAAGTGCTGTGCACAACTTTCCATGCACAACTTTAAGAAGATTTGAACTTCTAAGACTTCAAATGGAAAGGGATAAAGAGCAATCTTTGAAATGTGATGTAAAATTTCCTGCTAAACAGAGGAATTTTCGTTCAATTGAAGCAAAAATTGCATACCTGCACCAATAAAACACGAAGAAATTCAAAAATGCAACTAACCGTCAGTATGATAAGGGACTGCAAGGTAAGGTAGTAACCGAACGGGCCCAGTTGTAGGAGCTTGTATTGTTGTAGATTATGAATACGTATCTGCAAGTAGCGAACGGTCAGTCAGGTCCCTATCAAAGAGTACAAATCGCAAAGAATAGAATAAGCTCATATATCATAAAACCCACAAAAATAATAATGCCTCGATACAACCTATGACCTAAATATGGACCAAGTATTTTTTTTCATGTTTTTTTGTTTACAAAAAGTGTATCACGAAGCATGTTGCATCCTGCTCTACAGTAAAGGAGGTGTAAAATACAACGCTTGCAAAATTTACCTCTCCAGAAGTAGGGCTGGTTTCGTCCTCCTCAACTTTGTAATCAAGTATCGTGCTGTCCCAAAATACCTGCATCATCCAAAATTAAGGTCTAGTAAAAAGCTTGTCATGCATCCATCTTGTATGTGAACCTTCACACAGGTGATTGATTTACACCTGTGGTGGGCTGTTCGAGAATATCGTAACACAGATGTAAGTGCAGGTACGTGAGATTAGAGAGCAATTTCTAGTACCTTGGGCATGGCGTAGAATGCAGACTTGATCTGTCCCACTCTGCAAGTCAACCACGCAAGTTTGTAAAGCCAATTGGTGACTCCCAACATGATAGAATGCCTCCATCCATACCGAATTGAAGAGATGCATACCTACAATCTCTCCGGAGAGATTAATGGAGTCCATTATTATTCGCGAGTAGTAAGATATTCCTAATTCAATCTGTAGTACTCCCTCAGCATACTTATAATAAGAATGAACACTTGTCACTAGCAGTGGTGCAGGATAGCCGACTCGTTACCCATGGGCTATCATAAATGGATCCGCAAAAACTGCATTCGAAGTGTAGATCTCGAAGTCTTGTGGAGTACAAGTAGAATTGTATCTGCAATGTCGTAGTTCACAGTAACAGGACACATCAAGTTAAGTTTCTTCGCTAAAATGTGGTGAAGAAAAGCCTCTGGCTGCTACAGTTATACACTGATGATCTTGGAAAACATGTCATGCAGATATGTCTAACTCACATGAGGTCCTATACGAATAATAAACAGAAAATCTTCCGCCGCTTGTCCTTGGTTTTATAACTTCCAAAAAGAAGGTACTTACAAATTGAGCAAATGAGGGATGATTTGTGTGGAGAGGCGTCCAACCCCCTCACTGGAGTCCACGGCCTCCAACTCCGACATATCTGCACATGTCAATCCAACAAACTAAGATTTCTAATACTCGTTTACGAAATACTCTTTATTCTAACAATACTGTTTGTGTAAGTTACATTGTTTGTTAGCGGGTATTCCATATAACTTCAGACTCTATGTGGCCATCTGAAAGGGATTCTTCAAAACACTGTCAAGAAAGCAAGCTCACGACTACTTACTTCCTGTGCAAGAATGGGTAATAAAAAAAAACCTGCAGAGGAACCCTGGCGTGCTAATTACTTGTTCCGACACTGCCTGAAAAAATTTGCTATGAAGCTCTTGCCATTCTGAGAATTAGTCACATCAGAGACGGCGCAGGGCGCTACCAGCGTGGATGCACTAATTTAGACTACGAGCTAATTGCGTTACTTCCATGGCTACAAAAAGAGGTTTCATCAACGAGGGAGTAAGTTATCCCTCTGTGTGAAGCGTCCAATCTGCAGAGATTGCACTCACCCCTCTTGCTCAATCAACAAATTTCGACTTTTTCCGCAACTGGGTCGAGATTCAGGAAACTGACTGACAAAGTAACTGCTTCGGAGACTCACCTTGAGAAGCTTCAGCCATCGTGAAACCCACCTAGTGCTTCGAAAATGCACAATCCCGAGCACGAAGGACAAGAGGGACATGGCGATCAAAGTGGACGTAAGAAGGAAGAAAAACTGGAGGGAGTGCCACTTGCATGCCTCTGAAACTGCCAATTGTTGCTCTTTTCTTTCTTTCTATCTATCCATACCCACACAGACCTTCACACGTACTATGTTGAGTACAAAAGGTGTATAAAGATAGACCGTATTTTTTGGGTACATAAGACGTACAAAAGTGAACAGTATTTCGATGCATACTAAAGATGCATAAAAGTGAACAGCATTTTGATGCATACTAAAGATGCATAAAAGTGGACAGTATTTTGATGCATACTAAAGATGCATAAAAGTGGACAGTGTTGTGTTGAGTACAAAGGATGTATAAAAGTGGATAGTATTTTGTTGGATACAATAGAGGTATATCTGTCTTTTTGGAATTTTATTGAATACAAAAGAGGTGTAAAAAGGAGAAGAATGGGTGGGTGAAATTTTAACAAAGAGGCCAATAACAAGATGCTATTAAGAATACATAACTTATTTGGTGAAAAAATAAGATAGAACATAGTATGTGGAGAAAACTAAATACAAGCAGCAAAAAGGCATGGACTCTTTCTAAAACTACTTCTAAAATCGCCTTCAACTTGATTGCAATAATGTAGTAGCTCTATAAAGATATTGTTTTTTTTCTAATGAAAGAAATTAATTCTAATGTTGAATTAAGCTTTAAGAGTGTTAAATCCTAAAAGCTATTGTTTTATATGAGTTTGTTTATCATATTAAAGTTTTTTATTAATTATTAATAGATAGATTTTTGATAGATTTTTTAAAAAGTTGTTGATCATGAGATATAAATTAAAAAATTGTTGGTGGTTATACTTTTGTATTTGAAAACAACAACATATTGTGTGATGGATGTTTTGGATTTGAAGTTTTTGTCTTTGGCACCTTTTATTTTTCTTCTTACATCTTATTAAGATTTGTAAAGACAACCACTTATTATACAAGTAATTTTTGGCTTCCATACTATGATTCTAAAATTCACTTTTTAATTTAAATTGTAAGGTGCTTCAATTATAAATCGAATGTATCTTTAATATCAACCATAGGAATAATATTCATATGCATATGGACAAAATCAATAATGAAATTCAAAATCTATGCCAAAAAATTGCTTAATTGAAAGAAGCAATTAAATCAAGTTCACAACTAAATCTAAGAAGTCTTGCTACTATAAGTATGAAGGAAGCAATGATAATTATGTTGGAGAAGTTCAATGGAACAAGATTACAATTTTGAAATTTTTTACAATAAATAAAGTTTTATCTAAGGTTGCATCTTTCTCAATATGTTGATGGATTTACTCAAGTTCAATTTATAAATATATTTCTTTTTAGAAGTGATCTCTCTAAATTTATATCTTTGATTGAAAAAAAATCACAACTATTTTATAATATAATTTCATTCTTAGAAGTCTTAATAGCTTCATTTAAAGAAAGTGATCAAGAAATAGCAAAGTCTAAATTTGTATCTTTATGACAATTATGGTCATATATTTCTATAGACTTTATTATGGATCATTTAGTTTCAAGTTCTTTTGATTCTATATTTGTGATAATAGAAAAATTTATCAAAATAGTATATTTTGTAAAATGTACAAAATCTATTACTATCACAGACATACTCATGTAAACTAGTAATTACATATATAAATAGGTAGAAGTAAGTAAAAGTAGATAAAAGTAAATTAATTCTATAGTATTTGGCATAGAAGATTCCTAGAAGCTCCATAGATACTACTTTGACTTTATAGGTGTCTTTAATTGACTTTTTGGATTAGAAACATGGTCAACAAGTTGGCCATGTGCCACACATGTTGTTAGCTTGAAGACCAAGCTAACAATGTGGCCCACACATAGAAAAACTTGCCTTGTAAGTCAAGGCATGTGTCCTATAAAATCAACACTTATTGGAGGTCCTATAGAACGTCACCACGTAGCCCCTAGTTAGATAGTATATATAGAGATAAGAGTGAAGCCTTCTTCACTCTTGTCAACTCCTTTCTTGCTTCTAGTCTAGTTTCAAGGGTCTCTAGTTTTCTTGTCTTTTGGCAATAGCCATTTCAGTTTCTCTTTCAATATACATACTTATTTATTTATATTTTGTTACCTTTGTTTGAGTGAAGGCTCACTTGTCTGAATTGCTTTTTTATCGAGTTCTTATCCTTGACAGATTGACAAGAGTACACCTACAATATCAGAGCTTTGTCTAATCTTGATTAAGAGTGGATTACCCCTTTTCTTGATAAGATATAAGCATATTAGAAATTACGGATTACCTTCTTCTAAATTGATATTGTCCTTAGTATTTTCTTTGTTCTCAAGTCCTCTCTTCTATTTGTCTTGAGTGATATTAGACATCTTCTCTTTTCTAAGTGTTATCATGGCAGAACTTGTTGAAATGAAGAGTGCAATGGCACAAATGGAAGAACAATTGAGGGAGTTAATGCTTGCGATGTATCAACTCAATTTACCACCATAAGGAAAAACAAGATTGGCAGGAAGTGAAGATATAGAAATGGTTAGAGCTGCTTCAACATCTACACCAAATCATATTCTTTCTCCTATCGTGGAACGTCCTTCCAGTGTTAGAGAACCAAGAATTACCCTACCCGAGAAGTTTGGTGGTACCAGATCCAAGTTTTGAGGATTTATCAATCAATTGCAACTTGTGATTGAACTTCAACCCCAAAGCTATCCAACTCCAGGATCGCAAGTTAGATTCATTGGTACTCTTCTTTCAGGTTCAGCACTATTGTGGTTTTCATCTTTTCTTGAACAATGAGATCTAATATTGGATAATCTAAAAGTTTTTTTGGTGGAGTTTTGATCCATGTATGGAGAACATGATGCAATTTGTGTTGCAACCAATAAGATGCATATTTTATGACAAGGTAATCAATGAATAACGTTGTATGCTTTACAATTTTGACAACTTGTAACTGATATCAAATGGGATGATGCTGCACTTATTAGCCAATTTTTCTACGGATTATAAGATTAATTAATGCTCAACTTACTTGATCTTCAAACATTGAGTCAAGCAATTGACTTTGCTGTGAAGTGCGACAATTACCTTTTTGAATTTCGATCTGAGAATTGTACAAGTGGATCTCAATGTTACTATAATTCAATGGCAACACCAACATCTCTTCAGCACATACATTCAGAAGTAGAGGATATGCAAATTGATGCAGTACGTTTCAAACCTCTTACTGAGTAAGAAAAGACTCGTCGTTGTCAAGAAGGATTATGTTTATATTGTGGAGAACCAAAATATACTGCTCAACATTATCCAAAGAAACAACGCAACCACAAAATGAGGAGTATGGTTGTCAAAGAAGACAATATGTCAGAAAACGAGTTTGTATAGCTACAATAGGAACTATGCGGTTGAAACCTTGCACAACATCTAGTAAAGGTCCTATTCTCTCCTCAGAGCCCTCTCCTTGGTTTACATTAAATGTTATTTTAGGACCTAAACATTACAAATCCTTTGCCTTGTTAGATTCAGGAGCCTCAGTGTGTTTCTTAGATGAAGAATTTACTAAAAGACATAGCATATCTTTAGTAAAGAAAATTAAATATGTTCATGTAGAAGTCATAGATGGTCGTCCATTATCTTTTGGAGATATTAATCACGAAACTCTTCCTATAGAAGTAATAATCAATGGTCATAATAGCTTTGTAGTATTTAATATCATTAGATCTCTCTCTAACCCAGTCATTTTAGATTTATCGTGATTAGAAAAGTACAACCCTCAAATAGATTGGATTTCTCGAACTCTTATTTTCTCTAAAAGTAAAACTAACAGTGTAGTTAATCAAGTAGAGAGTCATAAGTCTAGTTCAATTAAACCTGTGTTTATAGGTACAAAAGCTTTCTTGCATGCTACCATGAAAGAATCACCATATATTATTTATGCCACACCCATTTCTAATGGTGCAAAGACTTCACATTACATTCCAAGCTAATATCAAGAATTTTAAGATGTATTTGAAAAAAAAAATTCGGATACACTCCAACAATATCATCCCTATAATTGCTCAATTGACTTTCAAGAAGGAGCACAACCGCCATTCAAACCAATCTACAATTTATCACAAAATGACTTGACTGAACTCAAGGAGTATATTGAAGAAAATCTAGCCAAGAATTTCATACGCCATTCTAAATCTTCGACAGGAGCTCCAATTCTATTTGTGAAAAAAAAAGATGGATCATTGTGGATATGTGTTGATTATCGAAGATTCAACAAGATTACCATCAAGAACAAGTATCCACTACCTTTAATATCTAGACTTCTTGATCAGCTGAATCAAGCTAAGATCTATACAAAAATAGATCTCCAAGGAGCATACAATCTAGTACACATTGAAGAAGGAGATGAATGGAAGACTACGTTTCGAACTAGATATGGACATTTTGAATACAATGTCATGCCTTTTGGACTTATAAATGCACTAACAGCTTATCAACATCTAATGAATGATATTTTTTGAGAGTTTTTGGACGATTTTGTGGTCTGTTATCTAGACAATATCTTGATCTATTCTAAGAATCGAGAAGAACATGAACTTCATGTTCATCATGTGTTGTAAAAATTAAGAGATACGAGACTCTATACCAAGATAAAAAAAAACTGTGTATTCCACACTACTCAAGTTGATTTCTTAGGTTACATCATTTCAAATGATGGACTTATGATGGATCCTAAGAAAGTTCAAACTATTATAAATTAGAAGATTCCAAAAACGGTAAGACATGTCCAATATTTTTTGAGATTTTCTAACTACTATCGGATCTTCATCAAAGACTTCTCTTGAGTTGCAGCTCCACTTACACGTTTGACTTGTAAAGACAAACTCCAATGGAATCAAGAAGCGGAAGT